CTGATGCGGTACTCCCTAAGAAACAAAGACACTGCTCAGCATTCTCACCAGAGTTTAGAATTTGAATAAGTCACAGAAGGAATGCTTTGGAGCCTTGTAGTCTAGGTGATGCAGAAGGCTGCTGTGTGGTGATGGTAACGGGTGACCGCAGCCTGCATTTGGGTTTGAAACGTCTCTTCCAGCTCCGCATCTCACGGCTCTTCCTTTAGGAGGTGGCTTAAAAAGTCTGTGTGTGTGTGTGTGTGTGTGTGTGTGGTCTGTGTGTTAATGATCTGTGGGTTGGTAGTCTGTATGTGTGTTTGTATTTTAGTGGTTTGTGTGTTTTGGGGTGTGTGTGTGTGTGCTGATGATGATCTGTGTGTGGGTCGGTGTGTGTATATTTTGATGTCTGTGGAGGTTAGTATGTGTGTATAGTAGTCTGTGTGTGTGTTGGTGGTCCACATGTGGGTTGGTCTATGTATATGTGTTTTGGTGTTCTCTGGGTGTGTGTCTTTTGGTGGTCTCTGGATGTGTGTGTGTATTGGTGGTCTGTGGGGGGGTTCTGTGTGTATATGTACTTTAGTGGTCTGTGTGTTCCGTATGTGTGTTTTGGTGGCCTATGTCTCTGTGTGTAGGTTTTTTCTCTGTGTGTGTGTGTGTGTGTGTATGTGTGTGAATTTTGGTCTCTGTGCATGTGTGTATGTGTATTTTGGTGGTCTCTGGAGAGGTGTGTGTGTGTGTGTGTGTGTGTGTGTGTGTTGTGGTGGTCTCTGGGATGAAGGGAAAAAAGGGAATGGTGAAAGGAATGATACTTTTTTTATTCTTTGCCAGAATCTTAGTGAGGATTCCTGAGTCTGTGTTCATTAGCGAGATTGGCTCATGGTTTTCTTTTTGGTTGGGTATTTTTCTTCTGGTTTTAGAATCAGCAATGATTCTCAGAATGGTTTTGCAAGTGTTGCTTTCCTTTCAATTGTCCTTAAAGGTTTCGGCGTTACTGGTAGTAGTTCCTCTCTAAATTTCTTATAGAATTCAAAAATGACTCTGTCAGTTCTTGGGCTTTTCTTTGTTGGTAAGTTTTTAATTACATTTTCAATTTCATTGGCTGGAATTGGGTTATTTAGAACTTTTGTGTCTTCTTTGTTTAGTTTTGGCCGTTTGATTATGTCTAGGAATCTGTCCATTTCTATATTTTCTATCTTACTAGACTACAGGGTCTCAAAGCAAATATTGGTGATGTCCTGCGTTTCTGTAAGAGCTGTTGTGTTTACCCCCCAAAAATGGAGATTTTATGATGGCTTCCTGATCTGATTCTGCCCAAATCTGGGGGACTTGGGAGTGCGTGGGAATTACTTCCTTTGTCTCTCTTCAATTGCCTGTTGTCAGATCTATGTGTACCAGGTATTTTGCTCCCGTGAGCCTAAACTAGCACTCAGGAAAATGTTCTCTTCCTTTTCCCTGCTGCATAGGAGAGGGAAAAATCAGTGGCACTCTGAGCCAGGAAACACCGGATACACTGAGACAGGATACACCGTTTCAGTTAGGCTAGTCCTTCCGCACCACTATCTTTGCATTTGAGTTTCACCCGGTTGCCGTCTCTCCAGGGCTGGTATCCCACGATCCGCAGTCCAGGCACACAGTCCCATATATGTCCCATATATTCTGGATGAATATCCCAGGGCAGCGGTTCGTGAGTCCACAACACCTCTACACACCATCTCCCGGGTCTCGGTGAGCATTTTCTGAAAGAAATTTATGGACCGTGTCTGTCTCAATCAGCTTTTATATCTTCCCTTGACTTTTCTGTTGATTGGACTGTCATATTTTAAATTTGTAAGCCCCCTTAATATTTTTTCCATTTTGCTTGTACACCACCACATCTTTAGCAGATTTATTCTTTGTGCTTTATTTCATGGGCTGCTTTTGGATTAAATTCCTTTTCCAAAATACATTCTACACTTGCAGGTGCATATGTACCCTTATTACTCTTGCTGCTGCCTTGTATTTTCAGTTATGATCAATAGATTATCTTGGCCAGTCCATAGAGAAACCATAGTGACAGTTCCAATCTCCTTGCCTACATCCTATATTTCATGTTATGCAGAGGCCATCAGTTGTCCTCGTCCAGTTCCTGTGTTGAAGGCGCTGTCCCAGAGTTTCACCCTTAAAATGAAGGCTTACCTTAAATTAAATAACCATCTCCAAGTTCCTGAAATGGCCATTTTTCGGTTTAGATTGATTGTTTCAGTATGAGTGAATGAATGCTTTGCATCGTATGTGTATAGCAGCGGTTTCCCTTAGTCTGTAAACTCAGTACATTGCAAAGAAATGTGCGTACACCTGGGGTGTCAGAAATATACGGTGAATATTTATTTTTAAAAAAATTGTCACTGAATCCCAGCACTTGGAGGCTAAGGCAGAAGGATCGCCATGAGTTTCAGGCCTCCCTGGACTACATAGTGACTTCAAGGCCACTCTCCCCGAGACATCCAACTGTCAAAAACTTCTGAATCAAGATTCAACTTTTTGGACTTCCAAGATCAGATTCATATTTTTTATTCATTTTAATGAGGAAAAAAGATAAAATAGCAATGAAGCAGTTTCAAAATAGGTTAGTAGGACAGTTACAATAATGAATACATTGCCTATGTGTGTCGCCATGCCCAGCTGGCATCTTTGAATTTTTGGCGGATTAAATCTGATGATTGTAAGAAATTATCAGTAAAGCTGACCAACTGACTGTAGTCAATATTAGAGGCTATTCATATTTCTTTTTTAAAATTTTTACACAGAAATTTATTTTTTTCCATAGTTTTATTGAGAAATAGCAATGAGACAGTTTCAAATCAAATTGGTAGGACAGTTCCAATAATTAACACATTGCCTACTGCCTGCCTAGCAGTTATTTCTTGTACAAGATGCGGACATGATA